CTAATATATCGTAAAATATCACTGTTCATATGTTGCAACCATTGTTAAGCATACTGGTTATCATATATTAAAAACTACTATATATATTTTATATATAAATTAGTAGCTTGTGAGGTTTATTAAATATATAAATATACCCTCTCTTGCCAAAATATATATCTTTGTAATGGAAACATAAGCTTGTTTATGTTGTGCTTTGTTATTTGCAAATTGTCATGTGAAACTACTCTAGATTTAGTATATTTTATTTTTATGATTTATTTTAATTATACATTTTAAAATTTTGCTTTATATTAATCGTTTGGGTCACTATATTGATGGTACTTATGGTTGTTTAAACGTAGATGTATTATATAGAGAACTTACAAATATATAAAAAAAATATATATTTTAAATTTATTTGAAAATAATTTCCCCTTCAAATATACTTATATGGGGCCAATTTATTTTTATAATTATAAATTATAGGATTAGTTTCATATATTTTCTCTTTATAAAAATTATTTTGACTTTTTAAATTTTTGGAATAAATTATTTATTTACAAAGAATTTCATTATATTGGATTCATAATGATTTATGTTTTATATATACATTGATTATATATATAATATACAATATTAAACATTTCAAATGCATTTTAATTTGTCATATATTTCAAAAACGATTTATATATGTGTGAATTTCAAAATATACTCTATAACTTTATTTATATAATATACAATGCTAGTATAAAAATTTTAAAGCGATTTTCAAAATTGGTTAACTGATTTTGGATGATAAATTATTATACTATTTTTACCTATTTATCACAACTTATACACTTTAATTTTAAGCGCATACAGCTTTTCATTTTAAAAGGTTATTTATTTTACCAATTCAAGTCAAAGGTGCCCAAAATTATTGTTTGTTTACAGGTTGTTTGTTGCCCAAATAAAATATTTTTAATCATTTCAAAGTTGTCTTTAACTTTTAAAAATATTTAAAATAAATAATTTTTAAAATATTTCGAATGAATAAAAATTTGTTAAAATAAATTGAAAAAACAAATATATTTGAAATATATATACTAATAATAGGAACAATGCGTTTAAAATAATTTTTGAAAATTATTTATATACCAATATATTAAGGTAATACAATTCTGTTTAAATATAAATGGACCAATCTAAATTTTTGTATTGCTCAAAGAAATATATATTTATAAAATATTCTCTTCAATCTTTTGAGACACGTTTTGGCATAATAAAATACCAACAATGCAGATTATTAAACTGGTCTATGAAGTTGTTCTATCTGTTTATGTGTTAGTTTACCCCTATTGTGATGTATGGAATTATAGTTAACTTCAATATATATGTTTAGTAGAATCTAATGTACACTTAACCGTTTGATGTATAATCCAATTGTCCAATAAATTCTAAACTAAATCGAATGACTAAATTTATCTAAACTTTTTCTAACACTAAACTAACTTCTAAATAAAATTTTAAATCTAAATATACAACTAAATTTTGTGTATACTTATTTAATTTTAAATCAATCCCTCGCTTTAAAAATTACAAAATTCAAACATGGATCCTCTTCAATAATCATCCTTACTAATCACATGTATACGTATTCAGACAGACTACTCAAAAGTGAGAGTTTTCCCCTACTGCAAAAAGGAAGACCAAACCGTGGACAGGCTCATTTTCATATAACCAGCTTTCTAATACTAAAAATTTAGATGGACACTCTCTTGAGGATTCCCAACCGCAATCTCTGGAAAATCAAGGAATAAATCCACCAAGCGCTATCTAATAACTTGAAAACATCCATACAAAGTGGTATTTCAAATAAAACTCAAAATGACCCTAGTATAAAGAACAACCTTAATAGTTGACAACATGTCAAATATGGTCGGGAAACGTGTGTTAATTTAATTTCACCACAATTATGTACACACCGATTAAAACACAATATTATAAATATTCATTTTTAAAAGCGAGAAAAAACGCGTTTATATAAAGGTTTAACTAGAAATAATTTCATAAATGTGGGTTTTCTTAGAAATGTTTAAACTCTCTAAAAATCATAGTGTTGGTAAAAATATATAACTTTTCAAAGTTTGTCTAAATTTTCAGTTTTCACATTTTCCACCTTTTCCATTGTTCTTTAACCGAATTTATCGCCGTTTTTATGATCGATTATTGGATAGAAATCTGACAGCAACAGACTAAACTGAATCAAATTTGGCCAGGTGGTGGGAGAAGCAGCAAATTACATGTTCCATGTTGAAATCTGAAAGTTATTTGTTTTTTCAACTATGCCAAGATATCATCTATCAGATTTTGGTAAGCTTGTCGGCTAGATGCATATTATTGTTCTTTTTCAGTATGGAGTCATAATCCTAACCTTTCTATCATCGTAGTATCTTTAAGCTATTTGTTTCATAAATATGACTTGGGCTACTTATTTATAGAGTGATTTACATAATAAGAAATACAAATCAGGTCTATATGCTCGTATAACGAATATCGCGATAATATATTGTGACAGAAATTACTGAAACTATTCAGTAAAATAGATATATTTGTTAAATATTATTATGAGAAAAGAAGGAGAAGACGAGAAGTTTTTTTTCAGTAGGAAACAGTATTATGAGCATTCGAAACTCACGGCGTCTATTCGCGCCTATTATGTAAATTTTGTTACTCTAGTTATATATGCAAATTTTAATTGTATAAAACTGCCACCTGGACAAATAAAACCAGTTTTGTAGTCAGTCATAGAATGGGTCTAGTTCTTTCACACACAGTCTATGCTCCAATCAATTAGCGTTAGGAGATTCACCTAGTCGAGAGAAGATGGTTGATGTTTCTCATGTAGTCAGAAGGTTTTATAAAGGATCGAACGGCTCTAATTTAAGGATAATATTCAGCTGAAAAGGTCTGGTCTATCTAGATACAGTCCACGCTCTGCCAAACCAAAACATAAAGTACTAGCCAGGTTTATAGACAAAGGAAGTGGCAAGGATTCCTAGATATCGCTGTTAGGCTCTCATCCGCTAACGCTCAGCGTCCTTCGACTGGTGTGAAATTTCAAAGAACGCTGACAATATATAGATCGTAATATATATTCTCGGGGACTAATTCAAAATAACAATTATTAATACTAACCAATAATAGAATTTATTTCGAGAAAGAATAAGACAAGTGTTTAATATTTGAATTTCTTACATAAACATAACGCGTTATTGCCTTTTAATTAATTTATGCCAAAATGGCCTTATCTTTATTGTTTGCTGAAGATATTTATCAATCCAAATATTTATATGTAATTTTACTGTCCAGAAATCTTATGTCCATATAGTTTGCTAAAATGCCATAACTAATATTCCATCCATCATTGTAGATGTGTAATCAGAATCGTCCAATACAGTATTAGAGCTCTGAAAATAAGTCTGGTGAATTAAATTAACGAACCCCTGGGAGGGTTCATCACTGATAAGCTCTCCCGCTATTTTTCATCACACTGAGGACATTAAAAAATTTGTTTTATTTGTAAAAGAAGCATTCGTGTTTAATAGTTTTTTTTTCTTATACACTGCGTGACATTGAAAATGGAACACCAAGAAATCGTGGCCAGAAAATTATGCAAATTTCAGGGTAGACGCGCCTAACCGAGTTATGCAAATGATGTAAAATGCGCAGCTCTCGTGCGCACATGGAGTAAGATATAAGGGAAGGAACTTGCAGAAAGGACAGTATTCGTGTCGTTATTTCTTCAAGGTAAATCATTGTAGAAATTTTGTTCTTGTGTCAAAAGACACGTGTAATAACATAGAATGCCAGGTCATCGTAAACGGAGGCAGTTCAAGCAGACAGACGCTTTTACGAGGGGCATGGTGATCGGACTGAAAAGGGCAGGTTGGTCCATACGTCAAATCGCAGCTGATACACACCTTGGTGCGTCCACGGTGCACCGACTGTGGAGAAGATGGTTGGAACAAGGAAATGTGGCAATTTATAGGAATGTCGGTGCAACCAGAGTGACGTCAGCACGTGTGGATCGGCGTATCCTTCGACAAGTAGTGGCGGCCCCACAAGCCACTTGTACCGCCATCCTGCAACATGTGCAAGACACCCTAGATCATTCCATCTCGACCAGAACCATTTCCCGTCGATTGGTTGCTAATGGCATGCACTCATGCCGTCCGCTAAGAAGACTGCCATTGACCCTACCGAATAGGCGCCAACGTTTGGAATGGTGCCGGGCTAGATCGACGTGGATGACGGAATGGCACAGGGTCGTGTTCTCAGATGAGTCGCGTTTCTGCTTGTCCAGTGATAGTCGCCGTGTACGCGTGTGGCGTCGACGTGGAGAAAGGTCCAATCCGGCAGCAATTGTGGAACGCCCCACCGTGCGACAACGTGGAATCATGGTTTGGGGCGCAATCGCGTATGATTCCAGGTCACCTTTACTTCATATTCAGGGCACTATGACGGCCCAACGATTCGTTGATGATGTGCTGCGACCGGTGACACTCCCCTACCTTCAGGGGGTACCCAATGCCCTTTATCAGCAGGATAACGCCCGACCGCACACTGCTCGCATTAGCCAACAAGCTCTGCAAGATGTACAGATGCTTCCCTGGCCACCGTACTCTCCTGATCTCTCACCAATCGAGCACGTCTGGGACATCATTGGACGCCGTTTGCATGCCTTGCCACAGCCGCGTTCAGAATACGAACTGTGGAAAATGGTTGAGAGGGAATGGAGAGCCATCCCTCAGGACGCCATCCGTACTCTGATTGACTCTCTACCTAGACGTGTTGCTGCGTGCATCGCCGTCCGCGGTGGTCCTACTTGCTACTAAGCCGACGCCGTTCTCGCTCTGTATTATGACTATCATTTTGAAATAAAGATCACTTATTGTTCGTCCCTGTCTCTCTCTGTCTGCCGACTTTCATCACTTTCTGGCCACTATTTCTTGGTGTTCCATTTTCAATGTCACGCAGTGTATATAGGTGGCGCATTATAGCACCGGTTCTCGTCCGATCACCGAAGTTAAGCAGTGTCGGGCCCGGTCAGTACTTGGGAGGGTGACCACCTGGGAACACCGGGGGATGCAGGCTATTTGTGGGGCTCAAAAATCATCAATTTTGGTTATCAGCCCCATAAATAAAGATATTTCCAGCGCATTATTGTTAACCAATCTGAATTCCGTGGCAAAAATTGCTGAATTCGTAGTCTTCCAGGGCAGCATATTGTAGCAAAGTTTCTGTTAAACGTCAACGTTGCGCTTGAATTTTAATATATACATCATTATCAAAGACATTTACAAGCATTAATATCTAAATTTCTGATTTATACACATATAACTTGTTTGATTTTAATATTGTCTAGAACTCTTGTGGGAAAATGGATTTAAACAAACTATAGATATGGGATTTTTGGACAATATAAATACATTTAATGTAAATCCATTGCTCTTCCGCAAACAAATAATAAAGGTCTATTAAATGTTCACGCTTCGAATAGTTTATAAATATAGAGGGAGTGCTAATGCATTATATTTAAATATTATATTTCCAACTATTTTCAGGAAACTCCCTCACGGTGAAGTTTGTAAATTGTGTGAGGGGAGTTTTCCTTGTTCCCTCTCAATCCAGGAATTACTTGTAGATTCTGGATTTCTCACCGAAAATGTGTTGACAATGTACTCTTCATTCAGTCCTTGCTTGTTAGCTATCTGTTCAGATCTGGTGGTCTCTGGATGTTATTGAAGAACTCAAGAGTCTGCCATAGAAAGGTTTCACAAAATCTATTATCTCTAGTACACGTGTCCATGAGAATCATGTTGGGTAGTAGTTGACGAATGCTTCTACTGTAAGTGTACCACATTTCTACACATGTAGAAAACAGGCCATAGAGGTATATACTAGAACTTATTAGGTAATGGGTTGTTTATTTCAAAGAGAGATTACAGTGTGAGGGTGTCTTTCTTTATCCCTTTCAATCCAGGAAATACTTGTAGATTCTGGATTTCTCACCGAGAATGTGATAACGATGTAATCTTCATTCAGTCCTTGCTTGTTAGCTATCTGTTCAGATCTGGTGGTCTCTGGATGTTATTGAAGAACTCAAGAGTCTGCCATAGAAAGGTTTCACAAAATCTATTATCTCTAGTACACGTGTCCATGAGAATCATGTTGGGTAGTAGTTGACGAATGCTTCTACTGTAAGTGTACCACATTTCTACACATGTAGAAAACAGGCCATAGAGGTATATACTAGAACTTATTAGGTAATGGGTTGTTTATTTCAATGTGAGATTACAGTGTGAGGGGGTCTTTCTTTATCCCTCTCAATCCAGGAAATACTTGTAGATTCTGGATTTCTCACCGAAAATGTGAAAACGATGTATTCTTCATTCAGTCCCTGCTTGTTAGATATCTCTTCAGATCGGGTGGTCGCTGATTGTTATGGAATAACTCGAGAGTCTGCCATAGAGAGGTTTCTTTAAAATTATTATCTCTAGTAGGCCATTAGAATCATGTTGGGTAGTAGTTGGCGAATGCTTCTACTGTAAGTGTACCACATGTAGAAAACAGGCCATAGAGGTATATACTAGAACTTATTTGTTAATGTGTGACTTATTTCAAAGGGGGGTTACAGTGTAAGGGGGTTTTCCTTGATCCCTCTCAATCCAGGAAATACTTGTAGATTCTGGATTTCTCACCGAAAATGTGAAAACGATGTAATCTTCATTCAGTCCCTGCTTGTTTAGCTATCTGTTCAGATCGGGTGGCCGCTGATTGTTATTGAAGAACTCAAGAGTCTGCCATAGAGAGGTTTCACAAAATTTATTATCCCTAGTAGGCCATGAGAATCATGTTGGGTAGTAGTTGACGAATGCTTCTACTGTATGTGCACCACATGTAGAAAGCAGGCCATAGAGATAAATAATAGAACTTATTAGGTAATGTGTTGCTTATTTCAAAGGGAGATTACAGTGTGAGGAGGTCTTCCTTTCTCCCTCTAAATCCAGGAAATACTTATAGATTCTGGATTTCTCACCGAGAATGTAATGATGATTGTATTATTCATTCAGTCCCTGCTGCTTGATCGGGTGGCCGCTGATTGTTATTGAATAACTCAAGAATCTGCCATAGAGACACATTTATTAAAATTTATTATCTCTAGTACACATGGCCATGAGAATCATGTAGCTTAGTAGTTGGTTTTACTGTAAGTTTATCACATGTTTGCACATGTTGAAAGCAAGCCATAGAGGTAAATATTAGAACTTATCAAGTAATGTGTAGCTTTATTTCAATGGGATATCACGTCTTTTACAACGAATATCTTCATTGATATGACAGATACCTTTCGAGCCTACTCTCTTAAACGAGCCAAAGAACCAACAAAAAAGGAACATTTATATAGGACAGTATTGATAGAATATTTACATATATAAATACAATTATATCAAAGTACAAATGTAACTTACGAACGTTTTCGGTTAAAAATAAATATACAAAAAAGACTTATTAGTATAATGGAGAAACTGGAAGGCTCTATGTACTAATTCTCCTGAAATTTCGATATTCTTGTTTATACCGTTATATTGATGTGAGGGATTTCATTATTGATCTTTCTGATTTTCTAAGACACTAGCCGAATGACCCGGGCAACGCCCGTGTTTTACCCGATTAAATGTTTTTATTCAAATACTACTCATTACAATTATAAATTGGCGCCGTGGGTGTCACTCTTGTGAAACGTCCCGCTCCAAACTTTGTGTTTTTAAAATATAAAAATAAAGATGTAAATTTTCACAACGATATTTGAAAATTATATTATTTTGATTTTCAAATACTATTTTAAATTATAAATTGGCGCCATGGATCTCACTCTTGTGAAACGTCCCTATTCAAACTTTACATGTACATTAGGTCAGCTGATATTACTTCCCATCTTCACCACTAGAGGCGCTGCTCGCGAGCGAAAGGGCAAATTTGCAACGCAAATTTGCAAATAACTCGACAAATATTCGGGATAGAGTCCTGACATTTTCTATAAGTTTTTACAGATTCTACTCTATATACCGTTAAAATTTTAGTCAGATTAGTTACGTATTGTGAACGTGTATAGACGAAAAACATACATACATACATACACTGACTTTTATATATATAGGGATGGCATTTATATGGTATGGAGTTACAATCGAGCCCCCAAAACACAATAAAATTAGGAGTATGCTTGATTGATTTAACTTTGGTACTCAGATACCATTTGAATATCTTGATTATATTTCATTGATGCTATATATATATAAATATATATATAAATATCCTCAATTATTATAACTTGTCCATAAGTCTCCATGAAAAGAGCTGCTGTCGTTGGTTTTGGCAATACCGGGAGCAAGACAGGACCTATATTCCAACCCTACCAAGATTGTGAATTTGATCTATGAATATAGTTTCCTTGTCTGATTATACAATAGGATAATAAACAAAATTATAACTTGTATGGAACCAATAAAGTTAAAGGAAGGTCCACAGAAATAGGTATGACAACCTGGCCCCATATCATTTTACATATCGGAGACTTCCAAGGTACGACATTTGACCAGGTTAGGGAACACCCTGGCTTTTAAGTCTTTTACTGGGATGGTAAACTTATTGCATCATTTTAATTCATATTTAAATGGAGGGGTGACTCCTTTGGAACATAAAAACCATCCTCCCGCAACATCTCAGCTATGTGTATACTCATGGATAAGACATAAGGAAGAAACAGGGGCAATTTTTTTACCCTTGGTTATCTCGTGTGTCTTCAATATAGGTCGCTGTGTATCAAATATTTTTTATATTTATTATCTGATTGATCTTACTTTATTGTTTTATATATTTGTGGTGGTGTCTTGTCCAGCATAGAAAAGGGGGGGGGGGGGGGGTGCCATTGCCCTGTTAGTCAGCCACATTACAGAGTTCCCTGTTCACGGGGTTACCGTAGCGGCTCACGACACCGTACTTCGCCCTACATGGCAGTCCCTTATTTATGCTGCTTCTCCCGCCCGCCACGTAGAGGAGGACTTCTCTGGACGGGGTATATATTTATACAAAAGGTTTATATAGCTTTCATCGATAGAAGTAGATACTTGCTGATAGGGAGCTTAAATGCATAGTTTGCTGTTTTATCAGAACGATTCACAAATTTATATTATGTAAATCTATTCAGTGTTATATTATAAAACATTAGAAATTTATTTACTAAATCGTGCTCTAAAGTCTCTACGGGTTATCTTACATATGGTGTAACCTGAATATAAATTTATATTTTACATTTATTTTAAGATGACATATCTTTATCACAATTTCGAATAGATATAAGAATGAACCATGTATCGTTAAGCTTGACGTTTACTATCTTGAAATAAACAATACGCAGATAAAAACGTCAACCAATTCTTCTACTTTTGGCGAAGTAGTGTTTTATTAATTTGATATTTCATATTATTAGGGTTCTTTCCTGGTATTCAAAAAGGTAAAATTCGTGTCGTTCAGTTATATTTTTCAATTTATCAAACAATTTGGCCGCTGAATCGCTGATTCTAGTAAATCGCCATCTGGCGAATAAAATTGTAACTAAAAGCAATTTCTAATTTTTCATTATTTTCCATTTAAAAATATCATTGCATCCTGAACACAATGGTGTTTACCACGTTTCTCTAGCGCAAATATTCGCGGAGTTATTAATTTTGAAAGTTGTGCAAGACTTTTGGATCACCCTGTATAAACTAGCACAAAAATAACACCATCCTCAACGATCCTGTTGTTAAAAATGTTTCTCCTTTTTATGCAAATAAATAGTTTGGATTTTTCTATTTTGTATTTTAGCATTTGCATATTTTCAATAAGTCTTGAATTGTCAGTATAAAAGACCTATATCAATTCACCTATATCAATGGTCAGTTTTCCAGACTCAACCTCAGCATTCAACTCAGCAATCAAAACAGGACGCGAGTAAAAACGCTTAGAACTAGTCCATACTGGTGAGCTGGGCTCCCCGGGTAGTTGGCGCTTCAGGAACCTGAGTTATAAATATCTCTCTTTCTATTTTT